CTAGCTAGTTTTTCATCTTCTCTCAGCTTTTCAGAGTCTCCTTCAATTTGTTTGATATGTAATGAGGAAGGATTTTAATTGTACCTAGCAGGGGGGTTAGAAAAAACTATGTCTACTCCATCTTTCTAGAAGTGAAAGTCTCCCATTACTTTGTTTCTTTTTAAAAATTGTTTTTAACTGGGAAGGCAGCATACAATTTTCACATCGGATTCTTTCAGAAAGTTCAGCAGAATTATACAAAACTAATCATGAATTTAGTGTTAAAAAGGAAACCTTCAGACAGAGAAAATATCTCTATCTGTAATTTATTTTTTAATATCCATTTTACTTCCACTTTCCAATTTCCATCGGTTTGTTTCTTGACAAGTTTGTCTCCTTTAGGACCTGCAACATCTCTGTTTAGTAGTGAGCTTTTCTCACTTAAAAGTACTTACTGAATGACTTCCACCTGGGAGCACGTCAATTTCCTTCATTGATGTTCCCCTATGCCTGTCAGAAGGCCTGGCACATACTAGGACTTAATAAATAATCTGTGAATTAGTGAATGAGAACTGGGAATTTAAATTTTTATGTAAATGAATGCGTCATCTACTTTCTTGTTTTGCTGAAGCATGGGGCTTAAGTTCCAACCAAGCACTCTTTAAACATGTGCCTAGGACACTAGCAGATTTCTCCAGAATTTTGCAATCTAGAGAAAAGGCAATTTTAATTTCAGGCCCGTGTGTAAATTTTTAGTTTATGGTTTAGAATTGCATTATTTTGAATTACAAATGGGAAGAACAACATGATGGTTCTCACATGTGTGTACGGGTACGTGCACATTCACTCCTATCGTTACTAAAGTAAGTCACCTGAACGACATGGCGCAAAAACAACCGCAAACCATTTTTAGTTATGTTTCCTAGATGCCTGAATCCTTTTTCAGATTCTTTTCTATTAGACAAGTCACAGTTTGATTATCTTTGAAAGTCATTGTTATGTATTGTGTGGCGTATGTGTTTATACATGGAAAAGGGGCAACATTAATCCATCATTTTGGGAAGGCACTGAATATAATGTTAAATTTTTTGCAAACGTAATCATACTTTAGATATTCTACAATTATTGCAACGTTTTTAAAAAACAAGGTTAAAGGACATGGTTCTTTTTAGTGCCACTCAGTATGCTGTTTCAGTACTAATAATGCTTGCTTTCCTGCTTGGCTTTAAATTCCGCTTAAGGAAATTGTGAAAAATTGAATTCACTCTACTTTGGTTAGAAAGTGTAGAAATGTTCATACATGGGAACTTTCACTGCCTGCTAGAATGGAAATTCATTGGGGAGGGGGAACCATGTCGTTTTACTACCTAAGAGCTGTTGACACAGTCCCTGCATCTTTCAAAGGCATCTTTCATGCCACACGGGCAAACTGTAGCCAGCGAAGAAACAGAAAGAGCCCTTCTCACAAATGTCAATCTCAAAAAACTTGCACAGCAGCTGTGCTAGGTACTGATGAGGATTACTACAGACCCAGTTGCAGGGTTTTATGTGACTAAAGAGACAACTGGCTTTCTCAGGGGAGCACTTTGTTGGAGATTGCAGCTTAGTGCATCCCCACTGTTGCTAGAAGACGTTGTGACCATGTAGTACAGAATCGGTGCCAGATAAAATCAGAAAGTAGCAAAAAGCAAGAAGAAAAACTCAGAGTTTTTTTAAATCTTAAAGTGAGAGACGAAAACAAATGTTCTGGGCTTGTTTCATTCACTTGTAAGGAAAAGGAGACAGATGAAGGGATGCCTTTAACTCAGAAAACTTGAAGGGCTTTCAGTCTTTTCATTTGAGAACCATTTGGGTGTGTTGAGAAAAAAAGTTGCAGAGTAGGCATGTTCAGACCTTTATTTGCTACATTTGGTAGGAAAGATTTTTTTTCCCCCCTCTTAACTACAAGAAGCCAGAGTTTTCTGTGCAAACGAAACAGGCGTTGCAAGAATCAGATTCACTTTGGACGACTCTTCACATTCCAAGTCATCATTGCGTTAGGCAGCACAATTCCATCTCTGGTTGATGGGCAGAAAAAGTGGGCAGCTTGCCAGGTAGACGTTTCCATGACTCCCAGCCCCCAAAGGTGATGCGTTTTTCAGCTAATTCAATGAAGAGTGGGCTGAACTTTGGGTCTAAACGAGACAATAGCTGCCTTCGCAGTATCAGCAGAATGGTTGATGGGAATGCACTCTACATTTGGCAGAGAATCATGTGACCTTACGACTGAGATTTTGTGATGGTGCCAACGGAGACTTGGAAAGCAGCAACCGTCCTGACTTTTTTCTTCTTTTCTAACATGGCTCAGAAAATGGTGGATCTTAATACTTGACTTTAGCCAGACTCAGCAAGCGACTGAGCTTTGAAGCACAACTTCGCCTTTATTCTGGGTTTTTGGCAGGCCACCAGGAGGCTGTCCCTTTCACGCCTGATAAATTCTGCTGCTTATCTCTAAATAGAAAAAAAAGAAAAGAAAATAATAATAGAATATTGAGGCATAACAAGTGAATTCCAAAATTGTATGTGCTTTTTTTTCTTTTTGCCTTTTCTGACTGCTGATTTTTATTTTTTATTTTTTATTTATTTATTATTATTATTATTATTATTTTAGGTTACTACCGTTTCTGCTTGTAGAAGAATCCAAGTAGTTGGGTCTTTTTTGGTTTTTTTTTTTTTTTTTTTGGTTTAAAATGAACAGGCGTTTGAACTGGGCAAACAGGACGACAGCACCAGTGAGCATGAGATCATTGCATTGCAGCAGTGTAGCAAGCTGGCACCCTGCCTTTGCACCCCTTTGGTTCAGGAGACAAACGTGTGCGATCCTCATTTCTAAAGTCAGCACAGCCTGGAAGGATTCCTGGTCTCTCCCACCTTCTACCATTCTGCTGCCAGTGACGGCAAGGATTGGTGTAGCTTCTGCGCAGTGCTTTGTGCCTGGAATACCGAGAAGGAAGAAAAAGAAGACAAGCACCCTGGTCCTTTTCTAAGAAATTACAGGCGCCCTTGAAGAAAAAATCTGAGTGTGTCCTACTACATGCAAGAGTGCTGAAAAAAAAAAAAAAAAAAAAAAAAAAAAAAAGAGACGTTCCTGCTCAAAAACAAAAACAAAAGCAAACAAACAAAAATCCAAACCAAAACAAACCAAAAAAAAGCAAACATTGGCTGTATAACTACAGAGACATCGGGCTTTGTAAAGCAGCTTTTTAAGGCAACAGAGCCAAATGAGCCTTCTTTATTTTTATTATTTCAAACAATATGGCATAATTAGCAATATATTGCACTTGGTGAAATCGCACCTTTCATATCAGGTATAACTTTTTTTGTTGTTTTTTCTTTTAAAGGCTACTGTTATATAAAAGGGGATCCTTGAACTTTCAATTTACTCTGATGTAACTCATAGCCCACTTTACTCTTATTAACTTTTTCCTTTTCCTCTCTTGCTCTAATTTTGATTAGAATAGAAACTTAAGTAAAGATGGAAAAATCTCTATGAAAAAGACAATACATGTTTTTATGTGCGGTATACACAGAAGTTTTGGAAAGGCATTAATATATCTGTGCTTTTTGGGTCCGGTATTAGTTTTTGCTATCTAAGAAAAGTGAATGTTTAGACCTAGTGGGTAAAAAAAAGTAAATCTTTAATGTGACTTATAATTTGAAATGTGAAAGAAGAAACTTTTTAAACTAGTAGAAAAGGGTTATATTAGAATATGCACTAAATTACTGATAAATCAGATTACTTTTGGGGAAGTTATATTCAAATTATTTACAGAGATTTCAGTAGAACAAAAATAGGAATGAAAAGAGCATGTTCTCATTTGCTAGGTAGAAAACAAGCTTCTTTCATAATAATAAGCTCTTTTAAAATACATTTTAAAAGAAGTACTTGTCCTAGAGCAGTTGCAAAACGCATTGGAAATATCAAGTATATGAGTAAAAAAAGTACATACAAACTTGTTTTAAGTTCAGAGCAATGTATTGGCTCAGCAGATAACTGCATTGCATTGTAATTATTTTGTCTGTTTCTAGAAGTAAATTGCTAAGCAATTTAAGCATTTTATTAAAAAAACAGTTTTGCCTGGTTCAGTGTGAAAGGATTAGCAGATGCCTTCCAGCTATTTTAGTTTTGATAAAAAATGTTTCTAAACAAGTGTAAAAATAATTTTTAAAAGAGAATGCTTTTGAAAAATTTAGCATATACCAATGAAAACTATAATTTGCATACTAATAATTGATGTTATAATATTTTGATAAAAATATGCTTTGATAATCTGTTATGCTTTTAAAATCATATTTTATTATATTAAAAATATGTAGGGCAAACAATGAGAAATCTAGAACTGATTAATTCTGCCTTTGTGTTTGCTATTCTATGAACAATTACAGGAAATTGCACAATCCCTATATACTGATAACATTCAAATAAAACGTTTTGTTGATTATTGTTCACTAATTATTTACAAAATAGCTCTCGTTCCTCCATGCTGTCTCAGCTAATGGTACACCAACTTTCACAGGCTTAATTAATATTGATAAACCTGTTTCCATGTTTCAAGATCCTTTAGTTTAAAAACATTATTTTAAATGTTATTTTTAGCAGCCATTAATCTCTACACTCTTAATTATCTTATTAAGCTCCATGCCAAATCCAAATCTCTTTTCAGCTTTCACTTCATTGTGCAAAACCTAGTCGCTTCTTTAACAACCATCGTCCTTTCACTTTCAAAACTGTTACTGTGAAAACAACACCAACCAAAAAGAACGCATAAATGCAAACTATGAAACCACTTTATATGTCATATGAGTAGCCGGGGTGGGGCCTTATGAGTCTTCCAAGCCTTTAAAAAAAAATACTTTAAAAGGTTTTGCCCATTTTGATATCGAGTTTTCTTCTCAATCGTCTACCCTCATTCCCACTATCCACTCAGATGCTCCTCCTAGACAGCAGTTGTCTGATATTTCTCCTTTTGTGGTTGTTTTAGGGAAAAACTTAAAATGGATATGAAAAGTGAAGAAAGTGATCATAGGAGAAAACCATTTCAGGTAAAAATAAAAAACAAAGAGCAATTAATATTTAATATTTTTAAAGAAAAACAACATTATTTGACTGTGTTTTGTTATAAGAATTCATTTCATATTCTTTATGAGTCTAGCTGTTGAAATTTTACTGATGGTTTTCATTTGAAAATGTGTGCTATGACCTGCCTTTGTGAAAAATTTCTTGTGGTCAATTGGACAGTTTGTGTCCCATTGAATATATGTCTGTGTATCCATACGCTTAAGATAGGTGCAATACGGTTTACTAGAAAGCTATTTAGGAAAAGAAAAAATTATGTTTTCTTATTTGTTGTACCATATAAAAGGAAGTGAAATCAGGAGGAGGGGAATAAGGTCATGTTTTTTCATCTTTTTTACATGACCTAATAAGACAATGAAACCAAAACATGCTTTCTTATAGTTATGGTAAAACTAAACCCAATGCTGCCTCTTATTTCACATTTGCATTTATAAATATATGTTGAAATATTTTTACTACAACTGAATGTATGATTGTTGATTATTTACTGTAGTTTTTAATAATTATGAGGACAATTTAAGAATAAATAATGGTTAAAAATTATGTAGAACACATTATCTATATAAAGGCTATAAAACATTTATTTCAAAATATGCCAAATCACTAAGCAATTAGTATGTAGTATTATTTTACACAATAAAGATATAATTAGGAAATGCTAAATGATTATAGATGTGAAATGATTAATGATTGTACAACTTATCATTTTGTTGCAGTTGAGTTTAGAATCTTAAAAAATAGTGTATGTGGCTGGTTTTATGTTTACTCGTTTGTGTGTTTGCTTGTTGTCTAGTGGTTTAAAACATGTTTTAGTAATATTTTATTTTTGCCCAACCTGTTGACCAGATGAGAGTTATATGTAGCCATGTATTTTAAGTGTATCTTTTTTGAACAGTAAGTTTAAATATATTTTATTTAGGAAAGAAGATAGCCTATGTCATGTAATACATCTGGAGTATTAGTGTGGAGTATTAGTAATCATGCCATTATCGTGCCATTTAGTCTAGTTTTATATTAACTCACTCAAATATTGTAAATTTTAGCACCATTCCAACTATAGACACAGATGTATATATTTAAGGCTGATAATAACTTCCTGTATTCTCTACCTAGTGAACAAGATCTTACTTGTTTTATGAGAAAGTTATAATGTTACCAATTCCTTGAAACCACTAACTAGACTAGTTGTATAAAAATTAAAATAAGCACAGTCTAACTCATACACAATTAACTTAATCGTTAATTTGGTTTTAATTATAGGCTCATAATACTACATTCATGCCTCACAATTACATAATTCATACATGCATGTATAGATTCCTTTTTCTTTTAAAACTCATCATCAATTAAAAGAGTTTAATTCCAAAATATTTACTCTTGAAACAAAAGCAGTTCATGAAAAATGTTTCAATAAACTACTTTTTAAATTCTCATGCATATAAATTTGTATCTAGTTTTGAATATTTATGAAGGCCTTTAATGGAGAATATGCATCCTTAGAATTCAGCATTTAAAACATTTACACTAAAGGATCAATATTATTTTTGTCTCTTAATTGCATCAGATATTTACAACAAATTTTATATTAATAGGGAGCCCATGCAAGATGTTGCCCATTGGCATAAACCCGTAGATCCGATCTTGTGGTGAAGTGGACCGCACAAGCTCGCTTCTATGGGTCTGTGTCAGTGTGGTAATCTGACAAAATGCTATACACAGTGCCGTTCAATAATAGTTCAGTAAAATCCTGTTAAACTCCAGTTGATTATATACTTTTGAAGTAATTATATTTTCCTTTGTTTTTCATGTTTATTTTAATCGTTGTCTGTCTTACAAGGCAGGCTTCAATTCTCAACAACTTGGAAGTGTTTATAGAACACCCATTCAAGTTCGATTCCATGTACAGTAAATTGCATAAGAAAGTTGAACCTTTATAGCAGGGTTTGGACCAGGATCTGAATAGATTCTGTTAAGAAACTTGAGTGCATACAGTAGTGTTTAGTGTAACTCTTCAACTTCAGTAAGAAAATTAAAGACTACCATTGGATTTCTATTATTTTATTGAGCCTATTTCTCCTGAAAAAATGAGGCTGAATGCAATTGACTTTTACTATTAATTGCTAGTAGAACTATGGCAGACAAAATGGTCAGAAGACATTTTACGTGACCTACGTTGGAAACCCAAGTGTTTAGGTTAGTCCTATGAGGAAGAGTTAAAGTTTACTAGTAAAATGTTAGAATATTATATCTATATCCTTGCCAAGCCCTTAGGTGTATGGCTGCCATATTTGGAGGAGCTGACTGAAGATATGATAAGGAGTTTGAAGCAACTTTGGAAGCTGTGTGCATCCGGGTTGAGGTAGTAGGTTGTATGGTTTAGAGTTACACCCTGGGAGTTAACTGTACAACCTTCTAGCTTTCCTTGGAGCACACTTGAGCCATCGAGGAATTCTTCATCACTTTAACCTGATCGAGCCACTTTCTGTGCAAGAAGGTAATGTGTCATGAGTATCTTGGATCATTGATTTGAGCCTTTATTACATTAAAATCATCATTTCAGCACTATTAGATTATTCCATTTGCATCTGTTTATGAACAGTGTCAAAATGGTATTTCTAATGGGTTGTCACTCCATGTTCAAACATTTTAAGAAAATTGTGGGTAGTGACTTAAACTGCATTAATATTAAAGCTTTTAATCATCCATAGATTGACAAAATTCAGACCTTAATTTTCAAATTGATCATTGGTCTATTTATGTTGGCTGCTTAGACATTATAATAAAAAATATCTGCTAGAGTTAATAGCTCCCATGGCACATTATTTGAGTTTTCCTTATGACACATCACTTTCTACCTTATGTTATGGCTATTTATGTGCTTGCTTATTTTTTCCACACTAGACTGTAAGCCCCTTGAGGGAAAAGTCCATGTTTTATTTTTCGTTGTATCGCCTGCAATGCCTTATAATAAGCACTAAATATTTATTGGATAAGTGAATGGAGTATAAGACCTCACTCTGTGATGAGTTTCTATGACTATTTGAATGAATTATGGCACTGGTCAAACCTCTTGAGTTTTATTTATTGCTCCCAAAATTGTTTAAATTTAATTCCCGGACTGCTCCGCATCAGTAATATATGTGACAATTTTTGACTGTGTTGAATGTGTTCATTCATCCTAAACAGATAATTTAAAATTTAGAAGTACTTTTTATCTAGAATAAAAATATCGAGCAAATTCATTTTTACTAATTAGTTGATGACAGTTTATAATCCTACATTTAGATAATTTATATTTCTGTTGAATTTAAATACCTTTGTTTCCAGATGAATTGTTTTTCTTTTGGCATGAATTTCAACTAAATATTCTATTTTGTCGCATTTAACAATATGATTTTTAAAAATTAGATTTGTGTCTTTTGTGTATTTCCCTCGTCTCCTGCCCTTTGTTTTTGTGCAGCTATCTCTGTTGAATAAACCAGAAGTAACTAAACCAGAAACATGTCAATAAATTAATAATAAATATGCATATAAAGTATAATTTGAGAATATGAACACATTTTTGTTTAAAGGAAAGGCACTTTATAATATTTTTTATGTTACAAAGCAAATGGGATTCTGTGGAATCTTAGTTTGCTGTCAACTTTAGCAGCAGTTAGTGGTATAATTTGTGTAGTGATGCTATCTCACATAGATCATCTTTCAGACACAGGATTAAGTAGTTGTTGATGTTAGAACTTTAATTTAAGACTCCAAATATGAAACATGGAATACATTAAAAAGATGTTTAGATGCAAATATATATTAAGAACCTTAAGACACTGGCTATGTGGTGCTGACCTTTCTAGAATGTTCAGGCATCCAAAATATCTTAATACCTAGAACTTGCTAACAATGTAGTGAAGAAGGAATGTCTACCCCCGACATGTAGAACGTGTGAGCCTTAGAAAGTGAATACCAATGACTTCAAGCAAAATAATTTGACTGGCCTACAGTAGTAAAGACTGTTTCTCTTTGTGAAAGAAAAATATTTGCAAGGACTAATCAAGAAGCAATGAATAAGAGGCGGTAGACATAAATCTAAAACAAACTAACAAAAAGACATGAAGAGATGAAAAGGAAAGTGACTCATAGCAAAGAGGAACACCATTATGTCTAATGATGGCAGTTCAACCCACAGGTGAAAGAAAGGGACAACTAAATGGGTAAACAATTACATCTTTATAAATAGTTTTTCCCTTGAGAACCTAGGATCCCTTTCCTGTGTGTTTCTATGTATGTATCTCCCCATACTAGGTGTATTTATTTAGAAGTCAAATCTATTGATGGGCCAAATAGAATACAATTGCCAATAAATGTCTGTTTCCTTACAGTGTAATGGAGTTAAGTGCCTCACAGAGGTCAAGTAAGATGTGCAGTTTAAGGATAATCTTACCAAAGCACTATAATGAATTGTTGGAATTATGGCCTCTTTTATATACTATCATCTAAAGTGAATGAGTATAATAGAAGAATAATTGAAGAATGATGAAGATGTCTCTATGATTTATTATGTTAGTCATGTAGAAATCATAAGAAAAAATCTGGCCAGGCGTGATGGCTCATGCCTGCAATCCCAGCACTTTGGGAGTCTGAGGCAGGTGGATCACCTGAGGTCAGGAGTTCAAGACCAGCCTGACCAAAATGGTGAAACCCTGTCCCTACTAAAAATACAAAATTAACTGGGCATGGTGGCACATGCCTGTAATCACAGCTACTTGGGAGGCTGGGACAGGAGAATCATTTGAACTTGGGAGACAGAGGTTGCAGTGAGCCAAGATCATGCCATTGCACTCCAGCCTGGGCAAGAGATTGAGACTCCGTTCTCAAAAACACAAAACAAAACAAAACAATAAAACAGAAAAAAATCTGCAAGGGGGAGGATATAGTTAGTACCAATGAAGAACATTTTTAAAACTTCTCTGTA